GTTATATCCTGTATATGACAACACTGTACTGGTATATCTCGGAAATGCCTTAAAATGCATCAATAATCTAATCATTTAGAAGCTACACTGCTACCCAATATCCGTGTTTTTACACTATCATATGTATGATAGCACATATTTTAAAAGTTCACTGCCGCAATGAGCCGTGTAAGCGGTTTAAACATTAACATAAACATGCTTTCGCAACTAGTTTCGTCGGAATAAATCCTCTCAGAATTCATAACAACGCATATTTTGCAGATAAATGTTTCAATCCTTTTAGGGAAAGCCATTAACTACCTATATCGTATTAAGCACCTTTGCCGTCTGTAGTCTTTTTCGCCCAAACTCTTACTAACTGAGTGCTATACTTAAATGAATTACGTAACGGTGTGCAGCACACGAATAGGACAGTTATTAGCGGATGTTACTTTATCAACATGTGCGATTGGCGACTTGGTCCACATAACTTCTCGCATTTTGGCGGAGACAGGGTGTTGAAAATCTACTTCGTCCGCCAGCGCTTCGCTGACACACCTGTTGTAAAAATTAGCAATGATTAGTCACCTATTTTCTGCTTACCAATCAGGAATATCCGAGCAGTCGACCATTGCTTAAATAGTAAATACTACTGTTAGAAAAATTATATATGCCACTCGTTCAATCGAAATACCTGCAATGTTAGCGACCGGATTTCGGGCAACACACGCCTTGAATGCCGTGCCACTGGTTGCACTGATGTGAAGAACGAGAAATCCGCCATGAGACCCTCCGAAAAGAAACAAAGCATTGCGGTCAACCCTAGGTTCTTTGTCTAGGACACTTTTCAGTGCATGCTAAATAAGAATTTTATAGAATATTTCTCATCTTCGATGGAATATTTAGGCAGATCCAGTTTTGTGAATGATTATGAACCTTATCATCACAGTATAATATTTGCATTTAAACTTATGCACCTGACAATCAAGGACATCTGTGTGTCCCACGTTACCAAGCAAACACCGAACGAAATTTTCTCCATAGCCAGTGGAACCGTGATAATTAACTAAAAGCAGAACATGTGAAGAACTGCAGGGCACATAACCAAATTCAGTACGTCGCAAGACTGCATAACCAAAAGACATAAAGAAGGCGCTCTCCAGATTCCACGCGATAGTAGACACCGTATGTGGGCCACCATGAGGCCAAAGAATACATGGCCAGTTGGAGCCCTGTGTTGGATGAGTAAACAAGCCTTCATACCGAGTATTTACTAAAAGCAGAACATTACTTATCAGTGCACTTGACTCAGGTGAGTGGTTTAAAGTTCAAAACATCTTTAAAGCGGAAATGAAATATTACCGTGCGGATTTTCGCCTTTTTCTGGTGGCCGTTGAAATTCAAGCAAACTGTATTGGAAGTCATATTTGCTCCTTGGACCACACCGATCGACCTCCATCCAATGTATCTCTGACTCACGTCCTGCCTCTGGGAGACGCGCGATAAAAAGAGTTGGGGTCACGACAGGAGTGCTGAACGTCGCTAGCACATAATCATCCCAAACACCAAGCGCAGTCCATGTCCCTTCGACTTTTGCTATAACGACTAATTTGTGCCAAAGTTCAAAAGTATAGAAAGTATTTATTTTTACCTATGTTCGATATTTTAGTCACGGACTGTAACGAGACGTCGATAACAAGAATTTCCTAAGATAATCATTAATGATATAAATAATGTAATTAGTACCAGAGAAAATCTTCTTTCGCAAGAAGAGTTACCAAGGATTTATGTTATCGTATTGTTTCTGCTCTCATATATGAACTGTAGGTCTTTCTACGCACGAAATAAGTGAGCGATTTATACCAAGATAAGTCTGAACACATGAGTGGGACTATAAACCACAGTCTGACGTGAGCTGAGGATTGTCAAGCACCATTACTGACTTTCGACTGGTTTTCAATCAATTTTAAACCTCCAAAACAAGTTTAACAGCTTTATTTCTGCTTAAAACAACCTCTTAAAGTCCTGCTTTTTTCACACTAGTGATAAATAATATTTAAATCATGAAACAAGCTGATAATATTGCAACACAGGCCAATTAAAACCAGCAAATCATAGTCGATGTTTCACTAATGATTTGCGGTTCTGCGCATTATACGAGCTTTATTTGGGAGGGAAGCAATGCCATACCTTCTAAAGTCCCTTTTCACCAGGCGCTTCATTTCCTCAGTAGGTTCTTTCTGTCGTTCATCCTAAGGAGGTGATGGTTTTTGATTCCTCTGTTTATCATCAGTTCAACGTTTTATTTTGGTCATCATTACTTCTCAGTTCAGATCGATAAAAACATTTCCTCTAACATGTTTAGAAGTTTCATCATCATCATCTTCCTTGACCGTTTCTACTTTCCAGATGCGTCAGACAATGCTTCAAACGTTTCAGAAACTGTGCCAAAGTTTGAGCTTCAGCAGAAGACAACTGGGGTCTGGAACAGACTTCTTCCATATATTTGCACCAGGCTAATCTTGGCCATCCCCTGGGTCTTCTATCGGTCGGATTTGCAAGGAACAGTTGCTTAGCTTTCCTTTCTGCAGGCATTCGCAACACATGCTCAAACCATCGCAGCTGTGACTTCTCAATCTGGAGAAACAAACGCTGTATTCCAAGGCTATTCCGGATGTCAGTATTCCGGACCATGTCGAGACGCGTAAGGCCAGCGACTCGTCTAATAAAGCCCATTTTAGCAGTTTGTACCCGGGTTCGAAGCATTTCAGTGATGGTCCACAACTCATGACCGTAGGTAAGCATAGGGATAAAGATCGACTTGAACACCGAGAGCTTAGTTTTCAGACTGAACTCTGTTTTAGTCACAATTGATCGAGTTAATTCACGCAGAACGCCACTCGCTACTCCAATTCTCGCCGGTCGATCTCTTCCTCAAATTTTCCATAACTAGTGAACACGATTCTGAGGTACTTGAACTTCTCAACCTGCTCCACTGCCTTTCCCTTAGTCTGAAGAGAACACGGGCAGGATAACGACACAGCACTAGGCTTTTCGCTTTAGATGCGTTCACACGTACGCCGGTCACGTCGCACTCCACTGCGAACGTTTCTAAGGAGTACTGCAGATCAGTTTGAGATGCCAATAATACAAGGTCGTCTGCAAAACAGCAACCTTCTCGTCCCCAAATTTCCTACACTGATACAGTCATTGCCTTGGCTGCTCCTGACTATTCTATCCATGTACAACACAAACTGCGTAGGGGACAGGACGCACCCTTGGCGGAGACCAGTAGTAACACTGGTGTTTAGAAGTTTAGAATAAAAAATTACTCTTATCAGAAGACAGATAGCGACAGAATAAAACGACACTACAAATGATAAAACGTAACTACATAAATACTAAACTGTATTTTTTTTTAAATTTTGTGAACTGGTTTAGATTATAGTTAAAGTAACGACAAAACATTCTATCTGACATAGTAAACAGTAACTTACCGTTTTAGCACCCCAAGCAGAATCTAATATAACACGCTTGTCGTCGTTACACCAGCATTGCTTCGGCAGATGTGCTGAGAAGAGACCAGGGAAATTTTGTAATCCAGCAGGATCGCTGACCACGTCGGTGACGGCTTGAACACCTTTCGTTTTCCAGTCGCACTAAAAGTAATACAGCTAACTTCAATATGCTCAAACATAACGTCCCCATCCCATCCATCGACATCTCCTACCACACTAACTTTATGTACTTCTGACATAAACAACTCGTTATATTTATTCAAGCCGATTTGGTGTCTAGTTAATTCTACGGTAGTTTCTTCATTCTTTATTCGATTCATGGTATGAGCCGAATTAGTTAAAGCGTCTCGGAATTGAAGCGTCTCGGCATTTTAATAACTTGTTTTGTTATGATAGTGTCCTAAGATATTTAATGTTACCAAGAAGGATTAAATCATTATTGCAGAGGTAACAGTCTTGGTGACAGATAATTGATTAAAATCAGGCTTAAGTTATGGTGGCCACCCCACATAAAATGCAGGTAAAAAAACAGTGAGAACAAAATGACTAGAAAAAAAACGAAAAGAGGTTACCAGAAAATGCTGCTATGAACTTTGGTGTTATATAAGTACACAGGAACTTGCGCGCAATGGCTGAAAGAACCTACATGGATTGAACTCACATAGCAGATTATGGATGAAAAGGATCGAATAGAAAAAAGTAAAAGATACGTTCATCAAACGTTCAGATTTGAGGTGTGCGCCGAGCGCTTCCGTTTCAAGATATATCAGCGTGTCACCGCTTCTGTTGAAGATAGGCGACCTAACAGCTTTGCCGGGAGTGCCAATTTCAATAGATTCCTTTCGCTGGAAGTTGAAGTACATGACAGAACTTCTAGAAAACAAAAACATGTTATGAAGCTATCGGTGGTCATGAATTATTACGTATACCTTCTGTTAGAACAGTACATCTTCCCTAACTTGCGCGGTTCTTCTTGGAGACCAATAAATACAATACCGTCGTCGCTGGGGGACCACACAGTCTAAAAGACAAAGACATTAAATAAAAGAAGTATTTAAATGCCAGAGACTTAAATCATGGATGTATGATTTAATGAGCATCACCAAGCATACCTCAGTCACGGACACGTTTTGAATGTTAACTATGTCTATTTTGCCGGTAGATATGTCGAGAATGCATGCCACCGGATGCCGAACTTCAGACATCTGTTCTCCCCAACTTTCGTGATAAAAGAACTCTTCCGCCTAAATGCAGAAAGGTTTAAGAAAGAAAATACTACGCACACATTAACACTGGGTATTTGATACTCTGGTGAATTTAATTAGGAGATAATCTGTTAAGAAATCGCTAATGGCTTAACGCAAGTTATTGAAATCAGAGGAACAGACCTCTAAACATCTGGGTAAGTGTGTGGGGAAAAAAGATACCCTGACCAACCTCAGATGACAGCTCTGGAGCAACAATGTGTATTTATTTTCGAAGGCTACATGAAAAATACATTACTTCAGCTACCCACTGAACAGGGGACGATATTATCCTATATACAGTATTGCAGTCAGTTATCCATGCAGTGTAATCTTCATCGTCATCGATGATTAACGAAGAGGCAACAGTATACGTGTTTAAATTAGTGATGTTAGACTCGTATAGTATCACAGATCTAAACTAAACGGCGCTTGCTGGCAAAATAAAATGCCCTGTTCCTCGTTGAAAGAAAGTCTGCCCCTACAAACTGTCCCATTACAACAGCGGTTGAAGAAAAACATTTCTTGCATTACTAAGACACGGAACTAGCCCTCAACATCATGGATATAACCGGTTCCTCGTACTTCCAGAGTAATCAGGCGTCTTTCATTGATCAGTGAGTGTGGACTTCTTTCAGTCTTCTTCTATGCC